TGAGGGAAAAGACAAGTTGGTAGAGAATTCTCCAAGGGCCTGCCTGGTAATTTGGGAAGTCCAAGGCCCTATTCCATGGGAATCCTTCCTGCTAGGAGATAATAATAACAACAAATAATAGTAGTAACCACTGACATTTCTGCAGTACTTTAAAGTTTACAAAGTGCTTTATAGGTATTATCTCATTTGATCCTCACAACACTCCTGGGAAGTATATTATCCCCATTTTACAGATGAAGTAACTGAGGCAAATAGAAGTTAAGTGACTTGCCCAGGGTCACACACCAAGCAAGTACTTGTAGCAATATTTGAACTTAAGGCTTCTGGACTCCAGGTTCAGCTCTCTACTGGACCACCTAGCTACCATAATAGAGTAGTTATAGCAGGAAGAGTCTTCAACTACATACTAGAGAAACTGCTAAGGATTCTTCCTCCTTTTCACCCCCCCTCCCCCCACTCCCGCTTCCTCCTCATTGGCATGTAAGCTCTTTGAGAGCTGGGATTTCTTTTTTCTCTTTGTATTACTAGCACTTATCATAGTGCCTACAGCTTAGTAGGAATTTCATGAATGCTTGAACAAATTTCATGAATGCTTCAACAAATATGGAGTGGGAAGGCTGATGATGCATCTCTCTTTTTACTATTAAATAAGATGATAGTGAATCTCTATTCTTTCTCTTAGCACAGTGTCTGGCACATAGTAGGGGCTTCATAAATGCTTGTGTCCTCCCTTCTGACTTAGAACCCTTCCATCACTGAAAATAACTTGACCCTTTTTTAGGTTTCTGGCTCAGGATTTCAGCAGCCAAGCACTCTTGGTTTGGGATAACTTTGGTTATCCCAAATAGTCTGAGTTTTCATTTATGTGCCTTCCAAATCCTTGTTATTTGAACAAGGGTTTTTTTCTTCTGAGGAATAAAACACTATGTGAGTCTTTGATCTATATGTTCACAGTTGGGGAAGTATTCTCATTTCTGTATTCTAGGGATAGACCTTGGCATTGCTAGTGATGGGATCTGGTGATTCACCCTTTCTACATGAATCAATACTCACTGTAGCTTGGAACCTGGTCTCCGAATGTGGAGAAATGTGATTGGAAAAAACCCCAAACAAACCATAAAACCCTTGATCCTTCCTCAGTGACACTACATCAGAGTTGATTGCTATGACATATATTTTCAATTTCTTGTGCCAAGGGGAAATCACAAAAAAAGAGCACTAAGACACACAGAGTTCAAATCCAGCCAAGTAAATTACATGAGGAAGGAAGCTTCATTTTGGCTCCTTGGTGAGTGTGACTGATGAATGGAAAAGAAGATGCTCTGTTTAGCATCTAAATCTTCCATGGATATAAGGCAAAACACAAGAAGGCATCTGCCCATAATAACTTTTCCTTATGGTCATACTTTTTTCTTTTCAAGAAAAAAATTTAATTCTAAGCTCCTAATATTATTTAGAAAAAGGGGGAGGAGATTACATCAGTTACTCTCACAACCATTTTCTAGGGGCAGAAACTCCTTAGTTTAGTTAATAACGGGATTTATTCTGTGAAGTTTGGATTCAGTCAAAAGGCTGAGCTTGACGACCTAGAGGGCCTCATGTGACCTTGAGGCCGAAGGTTCCCACCCGGGGTTTAGCCAATCAGTCAATAAGCATTTCTTAAGCTTTAACCAAGTGTCATGCTCTGAGCTAATGTGGTTCTTGCCCTCAAGGAGCTCACATTCTAATGGGGAGACAACACCCAAACAATTATGTAAATCCAAAGTTTACACCAAATAGATGGAAAGCAGTGTCAGAGGAAAAGCATTAGTGGTGGGGAAGATAGGGAAAGGCCTCCAGCAGATGATGAGATTTGAGCTGCTTGAGTTTAGTAGAGACCACCCTTCCCATAGCAGGTTGAAAGGGACCTTTGTTGAGTCAATGACTCCTAACTGACCAGGCAGAGTCTTCAGAGGCTGCTATGCTTGACTAGGCTTTTGAGTCTCAATTTGATCAACCAATTAAAGGTTGGCCTCTGACTTAGATCAACTTGGTCAACAAAGAGGAACTCTGCCTTCAGAGCTCTTCAAACCTGGTTGTCCAGAATTTAAAACCAAGAAAGAAGCAGGGAGTTGGTAGCTACTTTTCCTTTGCTTTTGTTATTCAGTGGTTTCCAACTCTCTGTTGACCCCATTTAGGGTTTTCTTGGCAAAGATACTGGAGTGGTTCACCATTTCCTTCTCCAAGAGCTCATTTTACTGATGAGGAAACTGAGGCAAACTGGGTGAAGTGACTTGCCCAGAGTCACACAGCTAGCAAGTATCTGAGGTCAGATTTGAACTCAGGAAGATGAATCCTCCTAACTCCAGGCCTGGCACTGTATCCACTGTGTCACTTAGGGGCCCTGTTACTTTTCTGTAAGGTATCATAAATTGTAGTGCTTAAGTACTACAAGGCAAAGACTGTTTCATTTTTTTTCTTTGTATCTTCAGCACCCACAGAACGTGGCACTCAGTAAGTGCTTAATGAACACTTGTTGAATTTCATTTAATTGAATTATTGAAATGTGAATAGACCTTATGATATCTTCTGGTTAACATACTGATGTGTTTCTTCTTACCTTCTCAAACTGCAATCATACATACAATATTGGGAGTCAAAATCAGTTTTCTACCTTCTATCAAATCCTTAAGCAATGTGCATATTCTCTATCACTAAATAGTTTGTGAATGAGCATTTAGGTGCTTACTACTACCAGGGAAGGGCTATGTACCAGGCAAAAAAGCAGTCACTGCTCTCAGGGTGCTCACAGTCTAGTAGGGGAGATAATATGCTAACCTTTATGTACAAACAAGATACATATATACATATATGTACATATATATGAATATATGAGATAAATTGGAGACAATCAACAAGAGGGAGGACACTAGCATTAACTGGGATCAGGAAAGGCAGTGAGATATTAACTAGGACTTGAAGGAAGCCAGGAGGTGGGGATGAGGAAGGAAAGAATTTCAGGTATGGAGGATAGCCAGTGAAAATGCCCAGAGTAGGGAGATAAAGGGTCTAGAGAGAGGAACAACCAGAAGGTAGATGTCATTGGGTTGAAGAGTACATGGTGCTGAATAAGGTGTAAGGAGATTGGAGGGGACCACATTATGAAGGGCTTTGAGTGCCAAACAGAGGCTTTTATATTCGATTTTGGGTCAGACCTGTACTTTGGGAAAATCGGTTTGACAGTTCAGTGGAGGATGGACTGGAGTGGGTAGAGACTTGAGGCAAACCAACCAGCAGGGTATATTACAATAGTCCAGGCATGAGGTGATGAGGACCTGGACCAGGGTGATGGCAGTGTCAGAAGAGAGAAGGCAGATACTAGAGACGTTAAGGAGGTAACACTGAAGACTTGGCGGCAGATTGGATATGGCGGAGTGAGAGAGAATGAGAAACTGAGGATGACTCCTAGGTTGGGAGTCTGGGTAATGGAGAGGATGGTGGTAGCCTGGACAGTAATAGGAAAGTTTGGAACAAAGGAGGGTTTTGGGGGGGAAAGTTTAGTTTTGGACTTGTTGATGCTTGTGGAATATCCAATTTGAGATGTCCAATGGGCAGTTGGAGATATGAGTCTGGAAGTCATGGGGGAGGTTAGGGCTGGATAAGATCTGATTATTATATTATCATAGAGATGATAATTGAATACATGGGAGCTGTGGAGATCACCAAGTGAATGGTAACCAGGGAGAAGAGAAGAGGTCCAGGACAGAGCCTGATGGTATACCCACCATTAGTAGGTGTGACCTGAATGACAATCTAGCTAAGGGGACTGAGAAGGTTCAATCAAAAGGGTAGGAGGAGAAACAAGAGAGAGCAGTATCACAAAAAACTTGAGAGAAGAGGGTGATCTATAGTGTAAAAGGCTGCAGAGAGGTTACAAAGGTTGAGGATTGAGAAAAGGCTGTTAGATTTCAGGTCACATGGGTTGTAAACAGCAGAGGCAAGATTCAAACCTAGGTCCTTTGGCATCACATCAGCGCCCACTCTCAAGTTAAAAAACTAGTCCAGAATGTTGCAGTAACTCAAGCCCAATAGGCTATTTTCTTGGGCAACTCCTGGAATTTGCTCTTCCATCCCTGGGAACCTGGGACCCTGGGAACCTGGGCTCTGAGTGATTAGTATTCACCTTATCTTGCTTAGATGCAGGCCACTTCCCTACATCTCAGTGCCAAGCTACGGTGTGCATATAACTCTTTTTAACTGCCCTCATTCCCCCTCCCCTAGCTCTGAGAGCTACAATAAAATCAACACTACCATTCCTCAGAAAGTCCTATCAGTCAATCACCCTAAAACTTCAATCACCATTCCCTCTGACTTTCCTCTCCAAAACACTCCTCCTTGGCCCTACCTCAGAGGATTATTGTGAAGCGTAACATACATAAAATGTTTTGCCACCCCTAAAGAGCTGAATAAATGCTAATATTATCAGTAAACACAAAATGATTTTTTTTCATGCATTTATACATTCAACAGAGAGTTTATTTAATGAAACAGCTTCAAAAAGCTTCCTTTTGCCACTCTGCTACCAAAGAGAGGGGACCCACATCATTCTTATAAGTTCAGGCTTCAGTCAATCAATCAACAAACATTCATTGTGTTCCAGGAACTGTGCTAAATGGTGAGTTACAGAAAGGCACTCCCTACCATTAAAATGAAACAAAACCAAATCGCCCCTCAAAACCCAAATCTCTCAATTTGACAGGAATCAGATTTTTAGTTTTCATTTTCAGCCTCAAAAAAACCAGTTCCTTCCCTACGCTGACGGGATTCTTATACAAAACCGCTTCCTCACTGTCAGTTTCACTTTCTCCTATATCTCCAGCAGCTCCTGGACCAAACTGCACACAGGGCAGGCTTTTTTGGCCTGAGGATGCTGCTTCTGAAACTAACTCCATTCAGTCTTCCCCTGAGTTTTTTCCCAACTTATTCCCTCCATCTCTTTTAAAGAAACTCATATTATTGGCTCTGATTAAAAATAGACATTTATTAAAAAAAACCCTCAGGCTAAATGACCAATTTACATAATAAAATTCTACATGAAACTCAGAAACGGGTGCCCCAACGCATCGGGGCAGGATGAGCTCTAGGAAGACTGGAGTGAGTGGAGGGGCTGGGGTCTCCCCAGCTTGCCATTCCGCAGGGCTGTTACGCAGGCTGCCCCGGGCTGTTTAGGCGGCTGCAGGTGAACAAGAGGGGACAGGGCCACATTCCTGCCGCTGCAGGCGCTGCACCCAGAGGCCCGGCCGCAGTCACGGGACTCGGGGCTTGCAGGGAAAGGCTTTTTCTTGGCGGAGCTCCAGAGGCAGAGAACAACCCGGCCCGGGTGCCCCCCACTGCTGAGGTGCTGCTGCTGCTGCTGCTGCCGCCGCCGCCGCCGCCGCTGCTGCCGCCTCTGCATCCAGTGCACTAGCCACCGCTGCCGGGCCTCTGTACACTCGTGCTCCAAGGTGCGTTTGTAGCGGAGTCCGGGTGCTGGTGGGAGGGCCGGAAGCCTGGGGAGCAAGATAGGAGCCAGGCCTCCAGTGGGGACGGGATAAAAGGATGGTAGTACTACTCTAAAATGGGAAGAAAAAACTCCCCTTCTACAGCGGTGCTTACAAGTCAAGACATCACCCGTGATGTCATTGGTCTTCTTTGAAAAGGAAGAACGAACAACATGCATTCCATGCATAGTAAGCCCTAGAATTAGTGAAAAATGAAACAATCCCTGCTGTCTAGGAGCGGATATTCTATGTGGGGGTGAGGAGGAGGGAGGACGCATTTATATTTAAAGTACCCCAGAACTTCAGCCTGCTTGAAGAGCCCTTGCAAATGCAATCCCCAGGTTTTTACAGAACAGGCTAAGGTCCAGCCTGCTGAAGTGACTGACCTTCTGGGGTAAGCCCAGATCCCGTGACTCCTAGTATTAAAGCATTATTCATGGCCTCTAGGAAACGTCTTACTTAATCCCCCTCCACCCAATATCCAGAGAGATGAAGTATGACCGAACAGTCTGAACAGTAATACAACTAAGACCCCCGGGGGGCGGGGGCCGGGAGTGGGGGCAGTTTAAGCAAAATTCTTAAGAATGACGTAGGGGAAGCAATTGGTAGTGGCTTTGCTTCCGCCACAAATGATACTTCCTTTCAAGAATCCACTTTTAGATATCTCTTTGACACCTCTATTCTAATTATGTACTTATCACATGTACCCTGGTTAGATTATAGCCTCCTTGAGGTACAAATCATATTTTATGTCTTTGTCCTGCCTCTATAACCTAGGAAAGTGCTTTGTTCAGAGTAACAACTTTAAAAATTAGGTGGGGCAGTGGACAGGGCTCAGAGCCTGGATTCAGGAAGACGGGAGTTCCAATATGACCTCAGATACCAGCTGTGTGACACTTAATCTTAAGGTTAAGTATATGACATTTGCTTCCGTTTGCGCAATTGTAAAACGGGGATCTTAACAACACCTACCTTCTAGAGTTGTTGTGAGGATCAAATGAAATATTTCTAAAGTACTTAGCACAGGGCCTGGCCCTTAGTAGGGACTATATAAACATAAAATTATTCCTTTCCCCTTCCCCCATTTGTTGGATTGTGTCTTCATCCCTCGGTCCCAACCATCCTCAACCATTTTTTCCTCACTCTTCTGTCTCTCATCCTAGAGTACCTAAGAAACTGAAGAGACATCAACAAAGGAATCCTTTATTTATGAACAGACAATATGGGAAAGGGCATATTTGAGAGTTTTCCTACTCAGACGAATTTTTTAGGGGAAGAACTCAGGACTTGCAACAGTTCCGAGGATTTGGCAGACTGGCTCCAGCTGATCTGGAGACATGCAATTACTAATTGTTTAAATGTAAGCAAATCAGTTGGTCCTATGCTTCCTTATCTCTAAAATGAGAGTATGCTAAGAAGGATTCTTTTTTTCAGGGAACCTATACTGTATAGTAGAAAAAGCACCAGCCCAGAGTCAGAGGACTTCTGTTCAAATCCTGTCTCTGATGCTTACAACCTGTGTGATCTTGGACAAATGACTTCGCCTCCCTAGGCCTCGGTTTCCTCCTCTGTAAAACAAGGGAGTTGGACTTGATGGCTTCTGAGGTCTTTTCCTGCTTTTTGTCTAGGATTCTATTGTTCTAGCTTTTTGATTTTTATAGTCCTTTCCTCCTTTTAATCTAGGATTCTATTGTTCTAGCTTTATTATTTTATGATTTTAACATTTTACTTCTTATATGTAGAGGCATGTTACTTATGGCACTGCATAGGCCAACCTGAAGTAGCTTATTTATTGATCTGCTGAAGTGGACTAATTGACAGCTTGTGTGAACATGGACAAATCACTTTTTCTCTGTTGAGGTTCAGTTTCCCTATCTGTGAAATGGTGTGGTGGGAGGCAAGGTCACTGGACTACTACTTTCTGAAGGCCTCTACACTTCTGAATCTCTGATGGCACCATCTAGTGATGCCACAGAAGGTACAGACAGTAGAGAAATCTGAATTCGTTGTTGATGTACCAGAGGACATCTTTGGGGAGAGAATCATTAACAGGAGAAAGGTGGCTTTGCTTTGAGTTTCAGCTATGCCATTGGCTAGCTCTGTGGGTCAATCTCTAAGCCTTACTTTATTCAAGTAGAAAGTGGATATTGTACTGTTTACAACTCCCCTACCTCACAAATATTTCTGTGAAGATGCTTTGCAAGCATCAAAGTGTGAACTCTGATTATTTACTTTATAGAGATGAAAAGTATAAATTTAACATTTTTGTGAATTGAATTATATTTTAAATGAGGATGGGAGTCCGGGCTATTTAAAGGAATGTATTTGGTTTCTTAGCAAAGTAAATGATCACTCCTAATTTATCTTAATTTTTCCATACACAGGGTGTCCCAAAAGTCTTAGGGCTGTTACAAGCTGTTCAAGCAACACTAAGACTTTTGGTTCACTCTATGTCACTTTACTTAAAGGTAGGAAGATTTATAACACTTATCTGCTTATGTTTTCCCTTTACCCCACTAATTTTGAACTGTTAACAAATAATCACCATGATGCTATGCAAAATCATATTAGCTGACATTTATATGATGTTTCAAAGTGTATAAAGTACTTTACAAACATCCCATTTGTTCTTCATATCAATCCCTTTGTACTTTTGATTTGATACCCTTCACGGGCCTCTCCTTGTCTAGCTTGTTGCTCAGGCCCTGGTGGGAAGCCAAGGACACTTCAGTATCTGGTAGTCCCCCAAGCGTATTTAGTGGCTCTCTTAACACACTTATGTTGACAAGGTTTCAAAACACAACAGTTTTATTTATAGAGAAAAGGACATGTAAAATATTCATTTTCAACCTTGCAGAGATTCAAGAGGCTAGCTCTTGCCCTTTTGCTTCATAGTACTTGTGCATATAGGGTGACCTCAGGTCATTAAGGGAAAGGCTGAACTTTGCTTCTCCTTCTTGGTTCTCTGAATCTTACAGATCTTTCCCTGACAAATTCTGTCCTCTTGGTGTTCTAACACTCTGTTACTGCCAATAGGTATAATAGGTCCTTCTTGCCATTAAAACCTGCTTCTCAACCCAAAGCTATTTGGCTCCATTCCAACAAATAGTGCCAGCTTTTGAACATTTGGAATTTGGAGAGGATTGCAGTGGTGCCTCAAGTAGAAGTGTTATAGCTCTTTCCTTCCCCTAGAATGGAGGTTTCTAACCTTGGGTCCATAGACTCTTAAATGATCTGTAGATAGCTTTCAGGAGTTCTGTGAACTTGAAGGAGAAAGATATTTTGATAACTTTATTTTAATTGGTTTTCTTTATAAGCCTATGCATTCTTTATGGATTTAAAAACATTATTTTGTGAAGGGGTACATAGGCTTCACCAGACTGCCAAATGGTTAAGAATTTCTGCTCTCAAATATTAATTTCCTCCAGCCTATTGAAATATTCTGCCCATTTGTTTCTTGGTCCCACCACCCCACCCTCAGAGTCTTTTTAGGTGGTTGTGGGAATATCTGATCCAAACCAATAAGTTTTCTTCTTTGGGTTGACTCTTGACAGTTTTGTAGTACTTTACTGCCTTCCTCTCTCAGTGCCTGGAGAGTGTGCCTTCTACTTGGGTTATCCTTTCCAACTGAGTCTTTTGGTGTTGGACAAGCCATTCCCACTTTACTTTCCATTTGTTTTTTTCTTCTCCCATCATCCTCTAGGATATCCAGACCACATCATGTAAATTGTCCTGGATAGTTTCTCCAACATCTTTGGGCATCAATTCTCTAGCAAGGGTCTGTGACTCAAATGCAGACAGATGAGGAAATTGTGTCTCAGACAGATTAGGTGACTTGCCTATGGTCATACAGCTACAATGTGTTAGAGCCAGATAGTTGATTCTAGGTTCAGTCTTCTCTTCCATCAACTATGCTGCCTTTCTAAGTGAATGAATGTTGAATTAAAAATTCTATGATTTTACCATATTGGTTTATATCAGGGTTATATATTAGAATGTAGGTTCACTAAAGGCAAGGATTTCTTTTTTGTTTGTTTGTTTATTTGCTTTTAACAGCAACTAGTACAATGACTGTTACATTGTTTAATAAGTACTCATTGAATTGAATGAGTTATCCTGGAATATAGATTACACCATTAAAGTAAGATCTCAGTGAAAGCCAAAAATATATTGGTAAAACTAAATAAGGGCAGTTAGGTGGAGCAGTAGATAGAATTATGGGTCGGAAGTTAGGAGGATTTGAGTTCAAACTTGGCCTCAGAAACTTGCTAGCTATGTGACCCTTGGCAAGTTACTTCGCCCTGTTGCCTCAGTTTCCTTATCTATAAAAGGAGCTGGAGCAGGAAATGGCAAACCACTCCAGTACCTTTGCCAAGAAAACTCCAAATGGGGTCACAAAGAGTCAGACAGCAAAAACAATATACGCTAAATAATGGCACCAGTTATCAGATATATTCAAGTTTTATGCAAGCTAGGTTAAAGGCTAGGGGTAGAAAATGTGGCCTATGGTCAGACCAATATCGAATGTTGTCTGGGCTAAGGATTTATTGTTCCTGAAATTACAGACTGTTCCAAGGAACTCTCCTTACCCAAGAGAGTTTGCTTGTGATTCTTTGAATATTCTTTCTCTTTGGCAACTCAGTTGTGAATTCTAGCTCTTTGTCTTTCCTCTTCTCTTCTGGTATAACAGGAGTGGGGGTGATTGAGGAGGGCACGGCTTCATTCTCTAACGCCATGTCTTAGTTCCCTACGACTCACTTGCTTCAGTTAAAGCCCTGACTGAGGCTGCCATATTTTTCCCCCATTCAATCTGGGAACATATTGTCATTCATTTGTGTACATTTGAGATCACAGAGCATAGACTTTTGTTGCTGGAAAGGATATTTGAGATCATGTCATTTTTAAATACATATTTTAAACAATATTTTTGCATGCATGTTTAAATAATTTTGCATGATTACGTCTAAACAATCAAAACTCCAAAGTGAGTAAAAGTAAAACAAAATAAAGCTATGCTACCTGCTTTAGCTGTTGTGAATGGTTGGATTGGATAAGACTGGAGCAAGTGGAGCCTACTGTGTCAAATTCAGTGGGGGTCTGACGTCTAGGACTATTTTTGTAAACCAGAAACTTTTTCTGACCCTTCCTGCCTTCCTTCTCCTCCCTTCGTCCTCATTTCCTCGCCCCTAAATTGATCAGGATCTTTGCTTTCTCAAATTTATCATAACATTTTTCCTGGCCCTCCTTTGGCCCGATTATATTCATTTTTTTGCCTTATATCATACTTAAATATATGTCTTACCCTCCCTACCCTCTTCCCAGTTAGTCTATAAGCTCTTCAAGGGATTTTATGTTGTTGTTTTTTATCTTTGAATCAGTGCTTAGTACAGTGCCATGCACTTAATGAGAGCTTCATAAATGTTTGGAGAATTGAATTACAGGGTCACATGTCTTCTAGGAATGGAACAACCAAACCAGAAGACAGTCCTTGGGGAATGGAGTGTTAAGTAGCCAAGAGGAAGGGGAAGGGAATAAGCATTTATATAGCACCTCCAGAGCCTTAGCCAGGCACTGGGCTAAGTAAGCCCTTCTACAAATATTCCAATTTGATCTTCACAATAATCCTGCTAGGTAGATGCTGTTGTTATCCCCATTTTATGGTTGTGGAAACTGAGGCAGACAGAGGTTAAATGACATGCCCAAAGGTCACACAACTAATATCTGAGGCCAGATTTAAACTCATGTCTTCTAGACTCCAAGTTCAGTACTCCATATACTTTGCCAGCCAAAAACAGCTTAGGAAGGGAAACATTTTCAGACTTTTTTTTTTTCCAAAAGGAATGATGAAAGGTTTGACTGTGATGCCCTATAAACATTGGTTACAGGAACAAAGGATATTTAGCCTGGAGAACAGAAGACGAAGTGGAGGAGGGCTTACAAATATACCCCTACTTTAGGAAAATCAATTTGACAGCTGAGCGGAGGATGGCTGGCAGTGAGGAGAGACTTATGGCCATGAGACCAGCCAGTAGTCCAGCATGTAGTAGTGCAGGTGGGAGGTGACAAGGGTCTGTGCCAGGGTATTGGCAGTGTCAGAGGAGAGAAGGGGATGAATGCAAGAGAGGTTATGAAGACAGAAACTGAAGTGCTTGGCCGCAGATCGGATATGGAGCGGGAGAGAGTGAGGAGAAAATGATCTTATGTAAGTTTCAGTTAAGGAGGAGGAGTCAGAGTCTGGCACCATTTTATCAGGGGGAAAGGATTTCCTTAATAGTATCCTTCTCAGAGAAGACAGCTAGGATCATACTAAAGCTAATAGTCTTTACTAAAGCTGGAGGTCTAAGTATATCTAAAACTGGTCCGAGGTGAATGTGAAATATCCGTTCAGTAATCCGACAAAGTTGTTTTTACCTTACAAGGATGGGTAGGAGTATAATGAGTTTAATGGGCTATTTGGTCATTGTTTTAGGTTTATGTGTACCTTTGAATCCTTCAAGTCTTAATGTCTAGTACATTTTCTAAGGATTGAGATAAAGGCTTTCTCATTACTCCTTCTCCCCTTCCCTCCAAAAAAAAAAAAAAAAGGCAACTAGGTGGTACAATGGATAGAGCCTGAGGTCAGGAAGACTTCAATTCCAACCCAGGCTCACAGACATACCAGCTGTGTGACCATGTGAAAATCAGTTAACCCTGTTTGCCTCAGTTTCCTCATCAGTAAAATTAATTTGGAGAAGGAAACCACTCCAATATCTTTACCAAGAAAACCCCAAATGGAGTCGTGAAGAGTTGGTCATGGCTGAAACATCTGAACAAGTTACAGCTGTGTATGAATCTTGGGTTAATAGTAATGTGGATATAGGTTGTGTACCATGATGGAAATAAATATGGATTTAGTCCTGGGTGGTGGTTGAACCTGGATTGCTGGAGAAAAAGGTTGAATGAGAATAAAGAGTCAGTGTAGGGTTATTGCCTTGAAAATTTCTGTAGTTCATTTAGAATTTGACTAAATTCTTTTGCTTTGACCCAGATAGAAAGACAAGCAGTGCCATATACAAACATTTAGAGAGTTGCCAATTTTGGAAGCAAAAAGTAGGTGGCCCTGTATGAATAATTCCCACCCAGACTCCATGGAATAGTTTATGTTGTGTTTTTTGTTTTTAATTTTTGACAGATGTTCCTGAAAATCATGGTGTAGTCAATTAATCAATGAATCAATAAAAATTTAGTGGAAAGAGAACTAGATTTGGGTCTGGCTTCAAATACTGGCTCTACCACTTATTTTCTGTATGACCTTGGACAAGTCATTTTTTTATTGTCATTTGTTGTTAAGTAGTTTCAGTCATGTCTGACTCTTCGTGACCCCATTTGAGGTTTTCTTGGCAAAGATACTAAAGTGGCTTGCCATTTCCTTCTTCGGCTTATTTTACAAATGAGGAAACTGAGGTAAACAGATGTTGAGTGATTTGCCAGGGTTACACAGCTTGTAAGTGTTTGAGGCCAGATTTTAACACAGGAAGATGGGTCTTCCTGCTTCTAGGCAGAAGCTCTATCCATTGTACCACCTAGCTGCCCCTTCCCTATAGGTCATTTAAACACCTCTCTCTCTCTCTTTTTCTCTCTCCATACATACATACATACACATACAGACATAAATGCACACACCGCTTTAAATATATAAAACTCTATATGTATAAACTTTTTGTATATGTGAACCTCTTTGTAAACCTCGGTGTCCTCATCTATAAAATAAGAGGGTTGTGCAAAATGATCTCTTACATCTCTTCTATGTCCAGATCTGTGATCTTGAGGTGAGAATACTATCAGAGTGGTTTTCCAGGTGGCTTTTTCATTATTAGTAGCACCTCAAGGTGATGGTGGCTTGTAGACTATATCTACTTCCTTGTGTATAGATGGTTACCTAATTCAGGGGCAAGTGAAGAAAGATGGAGATTTCAGGTCCCATGTTCTTAATTTGATGGTAACTAGAGAAAAAATGAGAAACTCATAAAATAAGTTAAAGTCTTGTGTTACCTTTTATTTTTTTTAAATCTGCCGAGTGCTAAGGCCCAGGGATGGCATAAACCAATTGCTGCCATCAGAAAAACTACTGCATGGTGCCAGTTTGATTTAGCTCAGGAGACTGTAACTTTCTGCCCTAGGGGGTAATGTGATGGAGTAGACCTTCCTACTACTCACAATATTATGAAAAAAAAAACACTAAGGCAACAATTTTTATTACTTGCCCCCAAGCCAGAGCTTTAAAATGTTCTCTCTCTCCCTCTCCTAAGCCACTTTGTTTTTAAAAACAAACAGTCCATTCATGTGTCCTCCTGAGTCAAGCTGTTAAACTCGTTGCCTTTTAGTTCTAGGTCTTATTCACTTAATGCACTGAAGTTGTAGGCTTGACATAATCCTGTGTCCCCAGAGTTTTTGTTTCCTTGCTATTTATATAATGGCCTAGGTACAGTTAAAGGCTGTATGGTTGATGAACTCTGCCAAATGTGAACAGGTTTGTGCCCTAAAGATTCAACAGTCTGAAGACGCAAATTGGTTTAATAGATCTAGGGGTATGCTGGTAAATGTTTAACAGATAATGTTCTCCAAAAAAAAAAAGCATGTAGGACACATTTGAAAATTTAATTTGCATTATTAACATTTTCTCCATCACTTTCTTAAGTCTGGACAATCAATTAAACAATAAATCAAGTCCTGATTTGTAGCATACTCTAATTTCTGAGGTGTAAATGCCCACACTGAAAAATTTAACATTGAGTTCTCTGGAAGATTGGAGCTGGCTACCAAATGCTTGACACTTACTAGCTGTGTGACCCTGGGCAAGTCACTTAACCCCAGTTGCCTAAAAATAAAATAAAAATTAAAAAACTAAAAAAAATTAAGAATGGAGCTGACTCAAGCATACCTTGATTATTACCACTTTCTGAAAAAGACAAATGGCTACTGAATTTGGAATGATTAATTATCCACAGGAGTTCTTAGAACTTTTCTTTATATTTTTTTGAGAAGGAGGAGGAAAAAAGGATGGGTGTATATAAACAATTAGAGGCCAGTCTAGGTCATCAAAAATGCATAGGAGATAAAATTATAGTTTTAGCACTGAAAGGGACCTCAGAGTAGTCTAGCTTCTTCATTTTACAGATGGAGAAACTGAGGTCCAGTGTGGCTAAGTGACTTTTCCAAGGTCACACAAGGAAGAAGTTTCAGAACTGGGATTAGAACCCAGGTTCTCTAATGTCAGGCCCAATGTTCTTTCCTTTGCATAATGGGTAAGAAGGAACAGGACAGGTAGGGCATATAGATAAGATAGATAGATGATAAATAGATAATAGGTAGATAGATGATAGCTAGCTAAATAGAAAGATAGAGCATTTATTAAGCGCTTATTATGTGCCAGATACATAGGTACAAACAACTGACAGCACTAAGTACATTCCCAGTAAAATACTGAAACAAAACTGTCTAATTGAAAGATTGCAAGTAATAGGACAACTTTTGACTTTTATAATCTTACTGATTGATAACTGTAACTTTGAAAATGGTCCATTGATAATTTGATAACCTTGATAATTGTTTATTGTGTTGGACCAAAGTTTTGTTGGCTCTCCCTGGGGGCTTAATTTGCGTGGTTATAGTCATTGTATGTATGTATGTATGTACGTGTATCTCTTTCTCTCTCTCTATATATATATGTGTGCATGTGTATATATATCTATATATCTATGTATGTAGGTATGGTTATGTCCCAGGTGTGGGAGGCACCATGTTCTTTTGGAACCACATCCCTAAGAAATCATCTTTTTTATTGTATTGTTATGGAAATATTTTCTTCCATAAGTTTAAAAAAAATAAGAATTCTACATGAGCCTTCAGCACAGGATGATATAACTTAGGAACTAACATCAAAGATTGCAATGAGAAGAGTACAAGTGGAAAAACAAAGAGGAAAAACAGAGAGGCAGAGGGAAGTAGAGGGCATGGTTAACTACTTCACGCCATGGTTGGGGGAGTTTGAGATTTCCCTTTCAGTCTGAGGTTAGACATTGGGAAAAGATATGATAGTACTGATGATGGGAAGTTTCACTGCTCTGCTTGATGCCTGGCTTAGAATTTTTTGAGTCTTTCTCCCTTATAGAATCTGTAGATCCCCTTCCTCTCTCCATCCTTCCTTATTTCTATTAAGAGCATCACCATCCTTTCAGCCACCCAGGTTCACATCCTCAGTCATCCTGAACTCTTCTCTTTCTCTGTCCAATCAATTGCTAAGTCTTAAAAGCAATCTTACATCAGTCTCTTTCTTTCTACTCTACCTTATTTCAATCTTTTCTCTCTTCCTCCTCCTCCTCAAATCAGTCCCTTTTTCTCTATTTCCCATGGTTACCACCATAATTCATGCCCTTATAAACCTTTCAAGAATCCTTTCTTCTTCTCTACTCTTGCCTTCTCCATCCTGGAATTATCATTTACATACTTATCTCTTTGTTGCATTGTATCCTTCAGTAAGCTCTTAGATGTCAGGGACTTTTTCTCTGCCTTTGTATCTGCAGAAACTAGCACAGTGTCTTACATATAAAGTAATTTTTTAACAGATGCTTATTGGATGAGTTTGAACAGGAGCACAGAGTTCCTGTGATGAACCCTGTTTTAGGCATGGAGTCACAACATGTGAGTAGCTAAGGGGCCAATTTTTATTTCAGAATTTCAGGCTTTCCTAGGCAAGGTGTTGAGTCTTGGCTTGGGCTCATCTGGAAATACAATTTCCATCCTTGTGGGATCCAGGCAAGTCACTTAACCTTTCTTGGCCTCAGTTCTTCCTCTGTAAAATGTGGTGGAGGAGTCCCTAAATGACTCCTAAACTTTCTTCTAGTTCTTTTTTATGATCTGATGATTGGGAGGATTTTGGTGATTTGCCATGGGCTACAATTCTTAAGGATGTTTGCCATGAGTGTATTTTCCAAATTTTACCTTGATTTTCTATTTTAAAACTATCTTTCCACCATCTTCATGAGATACCTTATAATTAAAGTCATGGTCTGAGGGAAGAGGCTCACAAGTATCAGTTTGATTAGATTGAAGCAGAACCAGGCTTTAATGCTTTGGAGAACGTGGGGGATATAGGGGAAGGAGTGTGTGCTATCTGAATTGTTGTTTTTCCTCTGCTTTTGTCACTTTTCATATCTTCATTTATGTCTTCCCATATTTCTCTGAATTCTTCATATTGATTATTCC